CCCTCAGCAGTAGATTTCAGTCAATCTGCCTACTCTGCTCCCCACTCTGTCTCTGGGGAATTCTCTCACCCCCCCACACCTCTGGCCTACACCCCAGTTCTTGGATGCATAAATAAATCTTAAAAAAGAAAAAAGAAAGGAGGGTGATCATGGGCCAGATGGGTAGGAAGGGGGGCGTCGGGGAACATCTGAGGGGAGCACAGCGCTGACCCAGTCTTCACCCTGGCTGGCCGTGAGGCGTGGGCTCTCCACTTGCCCCCAAGCCTGGCAGAGGCTCGGCAGACCCGAGTCCATCTCTGCTTTGTAGCCCAGACTGAGTCCTGGGCTCTGTGGGGTTTACTGGCTTTCTGTGTTGTGTCTCTGGGCAACATGTCTGCAGAGAGAGGCAGTGGGGTCTGGGCCAGGGGGCGAGCCTGTGTGCTTCCCTCTGGGAGAAGGGTGTGTCGTGTTCATTACTGAGCATCCAGGGAATGCCCAGAGGAGAAGCTCAGTAAACAGGGCATGGGAGGGAAGGAAAGGCAAGCGGGAAGAAAAGAGGCCGGAAGGAGAACTGGTGGCATGGCACAAGGACAGATGGCGACCGGGGACCCTCAGACGCAGGAGAGAGGGTGATGGAGGCTAAGAGCAGAAAATGTGGGAAGGAGGCATCACTAGGCCAGAGCCGGAGTAGGGCTAGATGTGACTGACAAACCAGCTACGGAAAAGTAGAGTGTCCAGAGGCACAGACCGAGGCCCAGACCATGGTGGGGATGTGGACACTGGGGGCCGTTGTAGAAAATCACCAAATAGGCCAGCGCAACCAAATATAGAAAAAGCCCTTTGGTGCCAACCCTAGAGATGATTAATGTAATAGCAGGTAACAACTGGCGAAGGAATGAGCCCCTCCCCAAAGGGAGGCCGATCTCGGTGCAATTTCTACCTTTGCAAAATGCAGCCCTGCTGCCTGCCTGTGCCGGTGCGAGGGCTTCTCTTCGCCAACTTGCTCCCTTTGCAAGCAGCAGAGGCAGCTCCCTCCCCAGGCCACCCGCCCTGTCCACGCAGGTGTCCCGTGTCTACACAGGCGTCTCCTGCCCCTGACTACCCAGGTGTGTCTTTTCTCAAAACTGTCCCTTTCAGGGGTCACTCTGACTGCTGTGTCCCCCCCTTTTTTTTAAAGATTTATTTATTTATTCATACAGAATTGGGGTACAGACCAGAGATGCGGAGGGTGAGAGGCTTCACCAGAGACAGAGTGGGGAGCAGAACAGGCAGATTGACGAAGTACACTGCTGAGGGAGCAGCGCGCGGGTCAGGAGAGGTCTGCCACACCTTGTGGATCTCCTCCGGGGCAGGCGGGGATCGAACTCATGCTGCAGTGGCTTAAGCGTCTTAGTGCTGTGCTTTAACCGGCTGCGCCACCAGGGAGGGCCTGCTGTGTCCCTTGTTATGATAAACCTGCCCTTCTGGATAAACTAAATGTCTGCCTCGTGGGAAACTGCACGCACTGAACGGGGAATAACCCAAGGACCCAGCTCTCTGAACCCCCTACCTCTCCCAACCGACATCAGGGTACACAGAGACATGGCCTGGGTTCCAGAGTCTGCGGTGACATGGGGCCGCACCCCGCTCCCCGTTGGCGCGGGGCGGCAGCGCGCTCTGTCCCCAGAGCTGGCCTCCTGTGGCCGCGTCCCGCCGGTAGGGGAGGAAGGGGCTGATGGGGGGTGGCGGGGAGGACTTATGGGTCCAGGCGCACCTCCCGCTCCTGTCCCAGGTTTACACTCCGCTCCTAGCACCCCTTAACAGCTGGGCGCAGCTCGGGCGAGACCCACCAGGAGGCGCTCCTCTTCTTCCCGCCGCCGCTTCTCCTCCTCCACTTTGATCTGCTCCAGCTTCTTCATCTCCTGCTCCTGCTCGAACCGGCTGCTCAGGTCCCTGGGCGGCTTGATGGTGTACTTCTTCGGCGGAGGTTTTTCCTCCTCCTGCACCATCTGTTCAGCGACAGCGGGCTCAGCCGCCGGAACTCGGAGAGGGCGGCTGCTCTTGCAGCCTGCGGGCTTCGGTCCCTGAGCAGGGCACACGAGCCCCCCAGCCGGGACCCTGGCCAGCCCTCACGCTTCAGCCAAGGGTAATGAGAAGAGTGAGCACCTTCTCTAATGGCTGGTCTGGGGAGCAGAGAGAGCAACATGCGAGGTGAGGTGCCCAGAGGGCAGCTGGTCAGGAAATGCGATTTTCCTCTTAGGCCAGCGAAGAGGGTCTGTTAAGCCTCTGCAAAAAGTCAGAATCCCAGTCCCCCTTGCTCCCCGTTACCAGCTCTGCAACTTTGGGTGCTAGCTCGCCTCCCTGTTTCATTTGTAAATAGGGGTTTGCTTGCTTACCACACGGAACTATGGTGAGAAGCCACCAAGTCAGTAGACCTGGGAGTGCTTTGCAAACTGTGTCTGTTAACTAATGAGCTCACTTTGATTATTAACACTTTGGCTGAGATAAGAGGTGTCCATGTGAGCACCCAGGCCCTGGGAGCCAAAAGCAATGACCTGTCAGCAGAGTCAGGGGAGAAGGCTTGGGGGGCTCGCCCAGGTGGAACACAGAGGCACAACCCCCCACCAGCTGCAGAAACCCACAGGGCATCACTGATGCCACCGGCCTGGAACGAGTCCAGCTCATGGAAAACATTGTCTGTCTCTGCAGTCTTCACCAACTGCAAGCGGCTTTGGGGTCCCTAGGTTTAAACTCCATTTTGAGTGTTTCTTGGTCCACCGTAGCCTGTGAGCATGGAGTTCTCAGTCAAGACATATACCACCTTCACCACCAGCAGGCTGGGTGACATTTTTTCTTTTAAGGGACATTTTTACCTAGTGAGGGGAAAGAGTGGGAAGACAGAACAAAATGCACGTCCACTTGGCTGTTCTTCCGTGTATGGTAAGAGCTGCACGGATTTTTACCAAAAGCACAAGGTAAATTTGGAAGAGCTGGGCTCAAGAGGAGGCATGTGTCTTTCCCCCAATTGACCTGGTGCGGCACACAGTAGCTGAAACTAAGAAAGGGCGAGGGACAGGGGGTTAAGACAGTGAGGACAGCGAAATTGCCAGTGGTTTAAAATAAGAACTCTGGGGTAGCCAAGGGGTTGCTTGCTGATGGAGCAGAGCCCTGTGGGCGGGGCCTGCCTGCAGCGGGGGCGGGGCCTGCCTGCAGCAGGGGCGGGGCCTTACCTCCTCTTGCGTGGTGATGAGCGGACACACCTCCCGCGTTAGGTCCATGTGGCATAGGTCCTTGGAGCCATAGCCGTTGACGCAGTAGGCATCATAGCCAGAGCCGAGCAGCATGGAGCAGAGCAGTGTGCTGAAGTCGAAGCAGTTCCCTTTCTGATACTTGAGCACGGTGGTCGAGGAGTACAGGTGGGTGGGCTGGCCAGAGTGGGCTGGTCAGCACTGCGAGGCCCACTGCCAGGCCTGTCCTCCCCACTTGTGGGGAGCTGGATGCTGGGGCCAAAAGGGCATACTGGACCCCCACAGGGCTCCCTCCCTTTGGCAGGGTAGGGAGGCTGCTCCTTAGGGGTGCAGACCTCAGACCCCGCCTGTCCAGAAATACAATCTGTATTGGCCCATACTTTTAAGACACTGTGGACTTCCTGATAGCAAAGACCCCCCTCCCCCCCGAACTGCAGAAGCTTCTGGTCAAATGTTCTCTGGCAATTTCATGTGTTTCTGTGCCCAGAGTTCTCCTCCCCTTCAAGCCCCATCTCTGCCTTCTCTCCCCCATCTCAACTCTCCTCCTGATAACTTCCCTCTCTCCTTCCATTCTCAAGGAGAAGTGGGTGGAGCTGATCAGAAACCCAAAGATGAAGCCAAGGGTGTGGCACTGAGGCCTTCCTCTCTCTGTCTCCCCCCACACCCAGTCAGGGAAGGAAGACTCTAATGGCAGAGCGAGGCAGAGAGGAGGGAGCCGCAAGACCAGGCTCATGTGACCCTCTCTGGCCACCCCCACCCCAAGGCCTCCCAGGGGGTCCATGAGAGGCTCAGCCCAGACAGACTTGAGGGCTGTGAGCGAGCCCACCCAGCCGCATGCCAACCTCTCTGGTTCCCCACCTTGGGCCTCCCGGGCCTTGGGATGAGGCCCCAGGGTGTCACTCACCGGCTTGAGGGGGTCGGGCAGGGGAACCATGGAGAGGAAGTCGGAGACAAACTGGGCGCAGGTGTCCCAGTTGTAGAGCTCAGGGTAGGGCATCAGTGTGGGCCGGATGGTTGTGCTCACGAACTTCTGCAGGGACAAGAATGAGGCCGGGGGCATTCCACCTGGGAGGCCACCCGGCGCGCCCAGGAGCAGGGAGCTGGAGCCTGGGGTGACTAGCTAGGTCCTCTAGGCCTCAGTCTCCCCCTGGGAGCTGCCTTGGGAGCTAGAGGAAGGGACTCCCCAAGGCCCTTCCAGTTCAAATCCAGAGTAAGCTTCTGCTGCCCCCGCCCCGTGCCGGGGATATAATCAGGGCCCCTCCATTGTCACCAAGGCCTCACTGGGTGCTGCCAGACACAGTCCCCAACAGCTGTGAGGAATGTGGGGGCAGTTCCCCCCACAGGTGGGTGACAGAGGTGCTGGGAGATGAGCAGACTTTCTTAGGTCCATTAGGTTAATAATGGAGTTGGGTGTGGACTTCTAAGACTTCCACCGGCCAGGCCTGGCTGCCCAGAGTCTCGTCTCCCTACGGGTTCAAGGAAGGTGCCACCAGCACCAGATCTCACAGGTCCAGACTGCACATGGCCCCACCTCACAGGCAGCCCAGGGCAGCCCCCCTGATTGCTGTAAGGGAAATATAGGAAACGGGGTTCCCAGATCAGAATGAAGTAGAGATCTATGTGGGACTCTGAGTTTCAAATGCAGGCAGCTAATGCAAATATTGAATGCTACAGATGGGGAAACTGAGGCCCAGCAAGAGTCAGGCACATGGCCTGAGTCACAAAGCTGGAGGAAGGAGGCCTGCACTTGGTCCTGGGTGGTCTTGTTTCATTTCTCTGCCCTTCCCTGGACAAGGCTGGCCTCTGGAGCTGGGTACCCGCTGCCCCTGAGTGGACAGGGGTTCCCCAGGTCATCATAGGCCCTCAGGGGAGATTCATACCCAACGGGCTGGCGTTTGAGTTCAGGCTGCCCCAGCCCATGAGCTCTGACCCCACGAGAAGGCTGTGCTTGGACCCCGGCCTCACCTCTGCTCCCTGCCTCCTGCCCCACCCGCCTGCCGCCAGCCTTACGGGCACTTCACACTCATTCCGCGGGTGCAGGAAAAGGGGCACGCGGTCTGGACACAGGTGGCTGTACTGGCTGGCGAAGTTGTCAGCCACCTGCAGCAGGTGTTCCTCCTTGAGCGTGTTGCTCTGGTAGGACAGCGGCAGCTTGGAGGTGTCCATGGTGGTCTTGGTAAAGGCCCTGTGCCCGCGGAGGGTGGTGTTAGTGCGCATGAGACCAGGCCTGGCGCACTCCTCATCCGCCTAACTGGCTGCTGGCTCTATCCCTTCCTCCTAATCCTCACAACTAACTAGGAGGGAAGCATGAGATTAGCATCTGTACTTCTAAACTGATGAGGGAACCGAGGCACAGAGAGGTTGAGTGATTTACCCAGAGTCACACAGCTGCTGGTGGGGGGGGGAGAGTGGGGACTTGGACCAGCCTGAAAGCCCTCTCTCTGCTCTTCTCTCCAGGTCCTGCTCCCACCTGCCGGGCATCATGCAGGCACCATGCTGTGACCCTCCCCAGGTTGCCAGCGGAAGCCCTAACAGGTACTCACGAGAGCAGCTCTGGAACAGTGAGCTCAATGGCCGACAGCTTTTTCTGCAGATCTCTGACCATCTCCTGCGTCATGATGGCTTCCTCCCGCTTTGCCTCCACTGGCCTCATCGTTTTCTCACCTCTTTCCGCCCTCTCAGCTGCCTCCTCCCGCTCGGCCTCCTCCTCCTCCTCCACTTTCTCCTTCAGGACCTCCATTCTGGCACATGGAGGGACGGACTCCCTACAAAGCTGGTAATTGCACTCAGAATAACAGCGCTCACCGTCTCCCTAGTAGCACAAGGGGTTAAGTGGCAGCACTCTGAAGCTATAGACTTCCATCCCCACCCTGGAGCTGACCCACATGGCATGGCAGAAATCCCCTGTCTCCCCACTGCTCCCCTCAGCAGTGTCCTTCATCGATCTGCCTGTTCTGCTCCCCACTCTGACTCCAGTGAAGCCTCTCACTCCCGCACCTCTGGCCTGTACCCTAGTCTTGTATGCATAAATAAATAAAATAACTCTTTAAACAAGAATAACGGCACTCAGACCAGGAAGGAGCCACCAAGAATCCGAGGTCTCTGGGAGATAGTGTGAGGTGGTTGAGATCACTGCAAGAGGAAGCCATTCCCTGTTAAATGTCCTTTCCTTCAAGAGAACATCCCAGTAAGGACTGAGGACAAAAGGGAAGGGTCTCCCGAGACTCGTCATGACCTCTGGGCACAATAGGACTGAAGCAGTGACAGGAGTCAGGAGGAAGAGCTATGCCCCTGCTGCTCCCGCCCCTCGGCCCTCCCTGCGCCATCACAGACTGCTGGTCAGGGGCTTACTGGGCTCTCGGCCGCTCCCCCCTTTCTGAATGCGGGGATGCATGTTTTCTGTCCAAGGCAAGCACAGAACAGGACCCTGCTGGACTCAGGAGGGACTGATGGCTCTTGCTGCCTGCCTCCCAGGTGGTCGGCATCACAGCTGGACCTTGTGTCCAGCAGGCCCACTCAGGACCCCAGCTTCCTGTGGGTAAACCTCCTGCTCTGCCCACCAACCAAGCACAGCCGGGCGTTGAGGTGAGTCACTGCCCACCACTTGGGTACAGAGAGGCTAAGCCCATAGAGGACAGGACTAGCCATCACAAGGCTATTACATGTAGTTCACTGAACCCCTATTATATGCCAGGCACTTTGTGCCAGCCACGGTGGCACGGGTTTCACAAAAGTGATCTCATTGATCTGCCAATGGCTACGAGGCATACACCATGATGATGCCCATTTTGAGGTGGTAAAAGTGATGCCTAGAGAGGTTAAGTTCATTGCCTAAGGCCACAGGGCTTGTCTGAGCCCATCTGGGGCTTGAACCCCTGTATTCCTGGCTCTCTAACCAGGCACCGAAGGCCCTACTGAGAAGGGCAAGCCCAGGAATAGCTAGGGTGGGGGAGTGGGGAGTAAGTAAGGTCAGAAGTTGGAAGGGGAGAAGGCCATGGAGCCAGCGGGCAGCAGGGGTCACAACTGGGCGGGCCCCGAGCCCACGTCCAGCCCCCCTTAATCAGACACAGCTGGACCCCACCTGCATTCTCTGTCCCCCACACAGACACTTCAAGTTCTCCAGACCCAGCTCTGAAGTCCAGAGACCCTCCCCATTCCACAGGTCCTCCCTACGCCCTGTCCCTAGCAGTAGCCTCCTCTTCTCTCTCTCTCTCTCTCTCACACACACAGGAACCCCCCCACCCCCCAGGAAGATCAAGACTGAAAGCCCCACCATCACCACCCTCCCCTCCACCTCCAGCAGCCAGGGCCCAACCACCCCCAGGCCTCAGGCCCCAGCTCCCTCCTCACCCCTGTCAGGACAGCCTGTACAGTCTGTTAGCCTGTCTCCATGGTAACAGCTTTCGCAGCTAAGAGCAGGCCCTGGGAGAGGAGGTTTCTGGGTAATGTAGTCTACCGCTGCTCGGGTCCGGGCCCTGCAGGTCCCTTGGCTGGTGGAGGGCTGCAATCAGCTAGGTGCCAACTCACAGAGCCAGTTGTCAACATTTTAGACATCTAGTGAGCCCATGGAAAAACACAACCGTTATTACAAATGAATTTGTAAAAACTTAAAATAGATTATATTAGAAGGCAATAAAGACTCCAAATTTAACACTTCCTCGTTCTCTCATGACCTTTTACTATTATGGATGCTCTTGTGGATATTCTGCTTTCTGTATTGGGTTGTACAATGCAAATATTATATAATAGTGAGTCCCCAGCTTCTGCTCAGAGATATCCCACTGATGTCTTAAAATCAGGCATGGGGTTATTTACACCACAGAGATGGCAAATGCCTTAGACTCGGCCTCTCCTAGCAAGCCGGTGGGTAGATATTTACCAGGACACAACTGGCTGTGACCCTTGCAGAGTCATTATGGCCTTCAGCAAGTCAGATGGAAGCCAATGTGGGGTCTGGTGTGGCTTCCTGTCACGGTGGACAGAAGCAGCCTACCTCTCTGAGTCCTGGGTTCTAGTCTGCAGTGAGCCTCTGGGTTACTGTATAAGCTAAGGGACAGGGAAAGGTGAAGGAAGAGGAAAATCCATAAAGCTAGGGGCCCATGAAAATATTTTTCAATTTTCATTTTAATTTTTTTTCAATTCAGAAGTAAAAAGAAATAAGACTAATGATGAAGATATCATTATAATCCTCTTGTCTTTGTACCAATGCAGTCATCAACTATATAGTCACAGTTGCTGGTGGAAAAGTAGGTATCACCTCAATTCTCAGTAACAAGGAACAATTTTCATTGCAGGCTGGAATATTACGCAGCCATGAAAAAGCGTGAAAGATAAATGAGACCTGGGGGAAGGTCATGAAACAGCCTATGTACCTAAGTCCTGGTGCATGCCCTGGGCTGACTTTGGGAATATTCACGTAGGTGAGGGCAGGAAGGGAGGAGACAAAAGAGAATACACGATATGTTAGGTTGCTGGGTACAGTGTCGGATTCCTATATAACATTTCACTTCCTTTGCATATTCATTCCCTTTTATCTCTATGCCTACTGTTCTCATGCATACCCCCCCTCAAATGAGCACTGTTTTACTTACTGATGCTTTTGTGTAGATATTGTGCTTATACCCCCTTCTGTTTCTTATAGTTTCACAAAGAATATTTTTCTTTAAGTTCAATCCACACTGCTTTGTGTCCATGATCTGGCCACACTAATTACCTTTCTGCTCTCCCAGTGATAGACACTCTGCTTTGCCACTGCAGATACCTCCCACCACAGATGATGGTTTCATTGGTGTCCTTCCATGGCTGTAAGAGTGCTCCGTTGGGGTAAATAGTCAGGAGCTGGATTGCTGGGCCAGCAGAAATACCGTTTTTTCCCCCTAGGCAGAAGCCTACACTTTCCCTACCTTCTAAAAGTGAGGGAGCTTACAGCCCTTAGTCTTGCCCCCAGTTGATCATTTTTAGCTCCCTAAAGTTTGCCCATCTAGGGTAGACACGATGAAATCTCACTGTCATTTTAACATGCAGCTTTCTGGTTACTAATGCTTCTAAATGGTCTCTGTGTGTTAATGTGTTCATTTGAGCTGTTTCTACCTCCAAAATTATCCTTAAAAACTCTTCCTTGGGCCCTCCCTGGTGGTGCAACGGGTTGGAGCGCAGCACTGCAAGCTAGCTGCAGCTGCTTCACTGCGAGTTCGACCCCTGGCCCTGGAGGTGACCCACATGGCACAGCAGACCTCTCCTGACCCGCCAGCTGCTCCCCTCAGCAGTGTACTTCATCCACCTTCTTGATCTGCTCCCCATTCTGTCTCTGGTGAACCTTCGCCGCCCCAGCACCTCTGGTCTGTACTCTAGTTCTGTATGCATAAATAAATAAATCTTTTTTAAAAAAAATTCTGCCTTATTTTGCACTCTTGGGGACTTCCTCATTTTGATTTCCATGACTCAAGAGTGTTAATTCGGTTTCTGATATGCAATTACCTTCCTATATTCTGCAAACACCGTGGGGGCAGAGGTGAGGGAGAGGAGTAGGGTGGCGGGATTCCTTTGTCAATCAGAAAGCCCTATTTTGGAGGACATTAACCTGGTCAGGTTTGGGTTTGATGTCTTACGTGTTTGGCTTTTGGTTTGAGAAGTCCTTCCTCGTCCTTTGTCACATTTTCCTACATTCACTTTCCAGTTTGCCTTCCCAGCTCGACCTCTGATGTGTCTGCAGCTCATCTTGGCAGGAGGTGTCAGGCAGCAACATCTGTCTTTCTCCACATGGTCACACTTTTCCAACCCCATCATCACCCCCCGCTTTTCGGTGGTGGCACTCTGTGGGTCAAGCCCTCTGGGGTCACCCGTGCCTCCCACAGAGCCCTCTGCTCTGCTCCCCCGGGGTTCACGCCTATCCCTGCACAGACTGCATGCTGGATCTACCTCCGTAACGTTCTAAGCGATTTGCCGTATCTTCGGAAGATCAAATCTTCCTTCTGTGCCCTTAGACTTAAAGACTGAGCTGTCGGAGGCCTGTGTAGCTCCGTTTCCAATTTAGGATCTTTGCAAAGTCCAGAAACAATTCATTGGCTCTCTGTTGGAATTGCACTGTCCATTCATTCATGGATTCATTTGCTAAGAAATTTTATCTTTTGATAGATAGTAGGATGTCTAGGTGGGAGCACAGAGCAAGTTAAGTCTCCCCATTTCCTGCAAAATTGTTATACTGTAATGAAAACACCAGGAATGAACACCAGGGGCCCAACAGAGCAGATCTAGAGCACAGTGGGGAAACCTCCCTGAGGCACAGATCACCTCTGCTGCCAAGGTCAGGGCCGAGACAAAACTCCGACTTCGTTGCATTGGCATGGAGGCCAGGGTGGCCAGGTGCCAGGCAGCCCTCCCAACCGGTCTTGTTTGACCCTTCACCCACCTTTGGGCAGCTACTGTGTGCCTGCTTCTTTGTTCAGTAGACTAGGACCTGGTCAAAGGAAGCTGCCAAGGCAGAATTTGCACCTGGTTCCTGCCTTTAACTGTCTATGCCTGTCCTAGACTGCTATATGACGAGTGAGTATCCTATGGAATGTTCCAGAGCAACTCCCTCCCTGCTCTACTAGAGGAGAGGGCAGAACCACCTGCAGAGATTTGAAGTCTGTGAAGCAGCTATGCAAAGATCTATTGAGGGGGTGGGGAGGGGTGGGGGAGTGGGGGGGTGTTAGCGACCTTCTAAACCCTCATTCATGACCAGGGAGCCCACACAGTGTGCTCATTTAGAAGTCGGAGAGTGGCTTCAGTAACTTTTAAAACTCCAGCACTGGGCCCTCCCTGGTGGCTCAGCGCGATAAAGCACAGCACTAAGAAGCTAAAGCCACTGCAGCATGAATTCGATCCCACACCAGAGGTGACCCACATGGCGCAGCTGACCTCTCTTGACCCGCCCGCTACTCCCCTCAGCAGTGAGCTTCGTCTGTCTGCCTGTTCTGCTCCCCTGTCTCTGGTGAATCATCTCACTGCCCCTGCACCTCTGGCCTGCACTCCAGTTCTATATGCGTAAATAAATCCTTAAAAACAAACAAAAAAACGCTGGCATCTTCCTTCCTCATCAACATATCTTTCAGTCAAAATCACTTAGGGTCCTTAGTAGCCCAATTACACTTTTCATGGAAATGATTCACTGTTCATATCTACATAAACTGAACTCAAACTTATGATGGTTGACCACAGAGTAAAATACATCAGGTTGCATCGTGGTTCGAGTGCAGACTTTGATTATCTAGTAAACGCTTTACCTGTTATTCTAGCTGATGGTTGTTCCACCATGATGGGGCAACCCTGTCCAGCTGCGCTGGGCCCTGTCGGCCTTAGCATGTGCTGGGTAGAGCCTTCAGAGCTGGGTTGGGGTGCCCCAGACAATAGGGAAGCCCAGCCCCTCAGCCCTGCCTGGGCCTGGCTGGACACATACCCACAGTTAGCTGCCTTTCCCTTCAGCCCTCTCCCTCTGCACCAGGAAGTCCCGCCCACTTAGGCTGGTGGTAGTGTTGGTCCAGCCTCCCACTGAGTAAGTCTGAGCCCAGGCAAGCGGGGCTCAGGGCCCCTTTGAGACTTGGGGTAGGGAGAGGCCAGGAACAAAGTAACAATGCCTGAACCTAGGGAGTCCTGCAGGTGGGGGAAGCCCCATCACTGCCAGCCCAGCTCAGTGTGGCCCTGGGCAGGTCATTGGCTTCTCTGGGCTTCTACCCCTCCCCCCAGCATGAGGCTGGTCCACTTGGCAGAGCTGTAGGAGGACTGTGGGAGGGGGGCTCTAACCTGCCCCCCACCTTGTTTCCACATAGGTTGCAAGAGTTCAGATTTGCTTTCCACAAGGGGTTCGGTTGACTTTATGTAAATCGGGGGGGGGGGTCCTGGGGAGCTGACCCACTCCTGCTGAGTTACTTTACATCTGTCACCTCCCTTAATGCTCTGGGTCAAGGATTTGATGCTCCCCATCTAAAGGAGGGGAAACAGGCTCAGAGAAAGGAGGTGACAGGCCCAGTGTCACAGAGCCTCAAGGACCAGGATTTGAACCCAGGCCTGTCAGCCCTGGGGCAGCTGTTCTGGGCAATGCGGAGACTCTGGACCGAGGGGGCTGGGTTTCCAGCACCAGAAACAGATGTCTGTGAAGATAAGCGGAGGCCGATAGTGGCACAACCGAAGCCATTTCCACACGCTAAGGTTTCCCTTCCAGGAACGAGACTTGCACAAAACAAGAGCACCCGCCTTCCGGCCTTTCATGTGTCGCTGTATGGGAGGAGGGAGAAGGGTGGGAATCCTTACCAGTCCAGATATCAACCCCTGGCATGGGGGCCGGCAGCCCTCAGGGCTGTGGGGGAACTAACAATAGCAACCTCTCTGCTGTAGCAACGTGCAAACCACACTGGAAACTGGAAAGTGAGATCTTCTGGTGGTTAGTTAGGCTGGAATGGGGGCATGACTGTGGGGCTGGGGCTCTGGGGAGGGGCACCCATATAGTGTCCTGCCCTCCTAGAGAGTGGGGGGAGCTGTCCTGCCTCTCTCTCTATGTGTGTGTCAACTTATTGGTTAATACTCCCTGCACCCCCCTCTCTATTCATTTCCTACTGAAGAAACCAGCCTGTGGTTGTGAAATGGTGTCCCACCTCTGGAAGTGACGTCCCAACCAGCGTCTGGTCCAGAGTCTGGCCCGAGACACTCGCCTGGCCCAAGGCCCTGTCAGGCTGATGCGAAACTCACATCTATTTGCACAGCAAATCCAGGGCCTGCATCACGGGGCTCTACAGGCGCTCAGACCAGCCCTGTCTCCCCAGCCCCCCACTGTCCAGCCCCCCTGGTCCATTTGCCTACCTGACAACAGAACAGAGGTGGGGTGTCTCATGTGGCAGAGTGGGGGTTAGGGGCCTCTCTTGAAGCACCACACCCCCAAAAAGTGGTGTGAAAGGGGTGTTCACGGCAAAGCCTCCTCTTACCTTGTGCCGAAATTCCATCTTATTGAACTTCTAGTTAAAAGACAAAACCCAAGAAGGATTTCCAGCTAGCCACGGCCTTCTCTGAAAATGTGCAAAGATCAGTTTTTCCCTTTTGCTTCTCCCTTTGCTGACCAAGGCCAGGCTCACTAAGAGCCCATGAACTCTTGGGAACATCACCTCTAAGCCGTCCTCATTCTCGGTCGGATCTCCCCTCCTGCTCCATCCTTTTCCTTGAACAAAGACCGCATCAGGACACGATTGGGGCTGATTACTGAATTTGTGCTTCCTGACTTGCAAATCTAAGACACCCCCAGCAAATGCTATTATTTTATTTCAGCTGCATTGTGTTTTTCTCCCTAGACGTTGCTGTTCTCGGAAATGCAGTGTCCCCAGAGGCCCGGGGGGCCCCTGCCTGGGATAGGAGGGGGTTTCTGTGAGGATGGGCCCTGTTGGGATTGGTGCAGGCTAGGGGCAGGTGGGCGAAAGGGCCCAAAACAAACCTGGGGCTGGCGCACTTCTCTCAGCCCCCCTTCCTGAATGCCCCTCATGTGTGGGAGCTGTGGGGCAGGAGGAGGGGGAGAGAGAGGAGAAGGGAGAGGCTGAGAACAACGCACTCCCCGATGCGGGCCCAGGTCCACTCTGAGGACAGAAGCTGGGCCCAGGCCCACAGGGTGCTTTGCTCTGGCGCAGGGGCTCAGGGGTGGTGTGCAGGCATGTGCAACGATTATGGGGCTTTAGGCTCGTGCCAGCTGGACTCTGCGGACTCCAAACCACAGGTGAGCCTGCGCGACCCAACCCGGCCCCCAACGCCTTCCACCCCAGCCACAGTGTGCAAACATGGAAGCTGAGGCCCATGGGAGCACCCACGGTCACAAGGTGAGTCAGAGCGGAGCTTGGGGTGCAGGCCGGGGCCCTGGCCGGGCCACGCAGCGGCCCTATTCGCGAGACACGGAGTGGGCCTGGTTGACGTTAGCAGTGCCGGAGGAGGAGGGCTCGGCCCGCTGGCTTGGGAAGTAGAGCAGCACGAACCAGCAGAAGATGAAGACTCCTGTCAGAGGGGAGAGGGCCAAGGTGAGCCTGGGGAGACGGCGGGAGCTGGGGACCTCACTGGCGGCTGTCCAGGGGATAAATAGCCCTCCTGTCCAAGTTCCAGAACTTTCGAGAAAGTCAGGGAAATGTGAAACCTACTCCTAAAAAAGAACCAGACCGCCCTCTTGGACAGGGAAGCCGGAGACCTTGAAATAAAGTCTATCCGTGCGTATTTCTAAGCCAGCAAAGAAAGAGCAAAGGAAGAGATGTTTCGGCAGATACACCAGCCGCCCCACTGGGGCTCTCCCCACCACGCCGCCATAAAGGGGTGTCATCGCTGCCTTCAGCAAGAGGAGGGAAAGGGGGAGAGCCACAAAGTGGAGTAAAGACAGAAGCAGTAAAGTAGGAGTGGGTTGTGTCTGACCCCTGGGGTTCTCCAGACACAGACTTGTGACCCTCTAACTCGTGGCGGGGGCAGGGGGTCGGGGAGCGGGGTGGCTGGTTCCCAGCTGACTCCGCAAGAGAGAGTTCTGACGTGTTAACACAGTCCCCACATACTGAAAACCTACCGTGCCCCTCACAGGCAGTTCCCCCAAAACCGTTTCCCTCCCACCTCCACAGCTCCTTAAAGACTGTCCCTGCCATGTGGCCACCATGCCACACGACCCTGCCCTCCTGGTCGCAAGTGGCTGGACCAGAGCTGGACAGCTGCCCCAGGATGGCCCGGTCAGATCCTTGTCTCTCCTACGAATGTGGAAGAGATGGCACCAGACTGTGGTCTGTAGCCTGGGAAGGTCAGGAAAGACTGAGGCTGCCCAGTATGGCAGCCACTGGTGGCCGAGGTAGGGTGAGGCCATGGGGAGAGAATGAAGGAGTTTCCGCAGAGCAAACAAGGGGAGGACATAGTTCCCAGGGAAGGAGATGGACAGAGTGCACTGGTCGGTGGCTTTTCTTCACCCTGCAACCAGCCCCCTGCTCCCTACCCCCCAGAACAACTAGCCTTCCTCCCCTGGGTTCCTTTAAATAACCCTGGATATTTAAAAACTAATACTCGGGGCCCTCCCTGGTGGCGCAGTGGGCTAAAGCGCAGCACTGCAAGCCAGCCCCAACTGCCTCAGTGCCAGGAGCTGGCCCACATGGCGCGGCAGACCTCTCCTGACCGCCCGCTGGAGTGTACTTCATCCATCTGCCTGTTCTACTCCCCACTCTGTCTCGGGTGAATCCTCTCACCGCCCCTGCACCTCTGGCCTGAACCCCAGTTCTGTATGCGTAAATAAATAAATCTTAAAAAAAAAATACTCTTGATCTGACCTAGCCCAAGTGGAGTCTTGTTTCTTGCCACCCGCCCCCCGCACCTCCGCACCCCGACTGGTGCAGACGAGGCGCCCATCAGCCTCCCGGGTCCAAGAGTCTCACCTTGCAGCGAGTTGAAGAGCGCGAAGACGTAGATGGTGGACAGGCCCAGGGGCGTGAGGATGGCCAGCCCCCACGTCATGCCCACCAGGCTCGAGAGGCCCAGCACGGTGAGGACCGACTTCCAGCTCTGTCCCTGCTCCTTGCCTGCAGTGGTGCTTGACAGGGTGAAGATCTTCCAGGCCACCAGGCCCAGGATCACAGAGCTGAACAGGAAGCTGATGAGGAAGTAGCCGTGGACGGTGATGTAGAGGGCAGTTTCCTCCATGAACCAGCACCTGCAGGAGATGGGTGGCTATGGGGACCGGGAGGGGCACCCCGAGCGGTGGACCCTTGGCTGGCCAGCTGTGACCGAGCTGTCTCTCCCGTCTCCACCCTGACCCTGCTCTCCTGGGGACACCCCGCTTCCGAGGCTCCGCTCTGTTCTCTCTTTAGATCAGTGGGTGCAAAAGCGCCAATTTGGTCCCCCAAACATGTTTTGCTTGTTCCACATTATGTTTTAAAAATAGGATGATTGGCCGCCATTTAAAAAGCAGAAGGCTTGGCATAAACACGCAGACTTACACTTCTGTTGTGAAGCCACGCACCAGGCGTGTCTGTGGACACCCCCGAGGGGCAACCAGCTGCCCATCCGCAGGGCATGGCCAGTGACACCGGCCACTGCCTGCTCTTAAGTTACCAGCCAGTCCCCGTGGCCTCTGCATTTGGGTCCTGAGGCCAGGACAGGCCCATCAGCCCCTCCGAGCACAGGGTCACGGTCCCGGGTGGGAGCCCGAGGCGAGGCTCAGTTCACCCCACTGCACCTGCACTGCGGAGGCAAAGGCCCCCACTGAGCAGGTGACAGATTCCCTGGCAGGGGGTGGGCTGGCCAGGGCCACTGCGATGGCCGTGTGGGTTGTGCCCTACACCGGCCTGGCTGAAAGCAGATGGGACTGAGATCCAGCATCCTCAACACCTGGCACGGGGGTGGGGGCAGGTGGAAGTGACTTATAATGTGGCCCAGGGGAGAATCAGCGAGGGGGGGGAGGAGGGGATGGGTGGAGAGAGGTAGGGAGGGGTGGGGAGGGGGCGGGAGGGGAGAGGAGACTTAAAGTCCCTTCTCAGGTCCCCTCTCCCCTCTTCCTCCTCCTCAGGCCTCAACTTACCCCTCTACCCTCTACCACAGGCAGGCCGGATCTGAGGACTCATCTTCCGCCTTGACCACTGGTGTCTCTTCCAGGATTCCCTCTCTCCCCCCTCCCTCTGGCTTTGATGGGCACAGCCAGTGGTCACCCCGGCTCCCACGGTCCCCGCTTACAGCTTCAGCGTGATGCGTTTCTCCTGGTTAAAGATGACGTAGCGGCCATAGCTGTTGGCACTTCCAGTGCCAAAGACCAGCAGGGCGGGCAGGCCTGCGCAAGGGGAAGAGGCATGGCGTCACTGGCCCCCTTGACACGGCCTCCTCCCCCACCCCAGATGCTGCCCCTGAGTCCTAGTCCTGGGCCCAGCCCCACCCTACCCCCCCACACCCCGCCCATCCCGACAGCACCTACCCCAGCCCACGAGGCTCAGCTTGAGGAAGTAGTGCCTGATGTAGGTGTTGAAGACCTTGATGGCCAGCAGGTAGAGGTGGAAGGCTTCCAGGCCCATCCAGGTGAAGACACAGAGCAGGAAGTAGTGGAAGACAGCCCCCTGGGCCCGGCAGGCCACATCACTGCCCTTGGCCTCCTGCTCCACGTTGATGAAGAAGGTGAGGTTCAGGAGGAACAAGCTAACACTCAGGGCCACGTGGATCTTGGGGGCATCTTCGGACTTGAACCTCTGCCTGGACCACCTGGGGAGAGGAGGGGCCAGAGCCTCGGTGGGTGCCCAGTCATCATCCTCCCACCTCCGCTCCACCCCCACCGTCAGCTTCACCCCTGCAGCGGCCTGCCCACGTCCAGGAGGCTCTTGCAGAGACTGCTGACCTTGCCCTGGACGGGATACGTTAGCCAGACTCAACCGGCAAGTCCCCAGACGCATCCTGCCTTCCCTTCTCTCCCCACCCAGCTCTGATCTGCTCTCAAGGCCTTCCCCTATTCGGCCTTCACAGCTTCCCTGGGGACAAGTCCTTCAGGAGATGGTCTCTGAATGTCCCTGATCCCAGGCGGATCTGGAGTTTTTCTTCCCCTGCCCACTATGACCTCAGGCCTAGCTCAGTGGGCCTGGACTTGGCTTATAGGGTGCACAGGGCATGGCTCTGTGAGGCCTGATGGCACAAGCTCTGCAATCTCTATTGACTGACATATTCTGGATGGAGACGGAAATGCTCTGAAAAATCAGACTTTCCACGCTAACTTATGTTATGACCTCCCTTTTTTGTATAATTGTAATATCAAAATATTCTGAGCAACCTTCAGCTTACAATTGGATTGCCTCAGCCTCAGGAGGCGCTACCTGGCCCTGACAAGCAAGCACTGCACCAGGGTGAGAAATTCCTCTGGAAGTCAAAAGTCATTAAACAACTGGCTGATTAATAAAGACAAATGGCTGTTACCGCAAAGTCTCTCACTGCCGGAGGGAGGAAAACCCAAATTTTATCACTCAATCTCTCATAGCCTTCTATTCAGTTTCTAAAGAAACACTCAAACTTCCTACTATCTAGTCTTTAGATAGGAAATTCACCCAAGTGTCTATGCAGAGCTAATCAGATTTTCTACCAGGTTTTCTACTTCAAGAAAACTCACTTAAACTTTCTAACAAGTTTTTCAAAGAACCTTATCTTAATTAGATTTACAAGAAATTTCCTCTTCCTGCCCTCACTTTACCCCCTAGGATGTCTCTATGAGAATGAAAGCCATTAAGTAATAGATAATGTTTCAGGAACTTTATTTTGGTTAATCTTCACTGTGGTAAATATAGTAATATTAGTCTTAAACTTTGTGAATCTGTGTACCTGTTTTAACCTTGATAGATTGACTTTAAAAATGTTATAATCTCAACTGAAGATCAAAAAAAACGACCCCAGACTATTCTTAGCACAAAGGTGATTGCGATCTCAGCCCACTTCATATGCTAATGTCATCCCTCTGCCTGCCTGAAGTGTATAAAATAAACCTCTGCTGAAGGCAGAGCAGGAAGACTTGCACCCAACTCCCATTCCCATGTCTTCCTCACACCCACTCCCCTTTTTTCCCTTTTTCTAGGAATCTCCACTCCCCGATGCCATTCCCACCTTGAGACCTGCCTGTTCTGCCCCCCAATAATCTGTGATCGGGGACAAAGAGTCTCCGACAGCTTGAGAAGCAGCAGGGAGAGTGAGCTCAGAGAGGGACTTGGACTCCCAGGGGGACAGTGCAGGGTCTCCAGGCTCCCAGCCCCAGAGTGCAGAGACCCCACTCTGAATCCTTAGCAAATCAGATCATCCCAAAGGGCCTGGGGACAGGAGCTCAGGGCGGCCTGGAGGGGCCATGAGGGGCCATGTCCACCTCAGCTGCCAGGCCAGGCCCTACCAGCTGCCCTTGGGAGCTGGTGCTCGTCTTCCTAGGGCCCAACGTTGAGCGGGCAGCCAGGTCTGGGCTGGGCCTGGTGTACTAGGCTGTAGAGGCCACGGTTCAAGGTCACATGGTGGCTGAATCAAATGAGAAGGGCAGTGGAGGCCCTGGACTGGGAGTCAGGAGCCTTTGGGGCTGCTCCAGGCCAGACAAGGGTCAGGAGGCTGGGGAGCAGGGTGGGCTGGGGTGCGGGGCTGCCCCTACAGGCCCTTCAGGCAGGGGGGCCCCGTGGGCCCCTCGGTCATGGCCAGGCCTGGGAGCCGGGGCAGAGGATGCAGCAGTCTCGGCAGACCAGCATCCACTCCTCCTCCCACCTTCCCTGACAAACACCCTCCCCGGCTCTCGGCCATGAAACTGGGGCGGACTTGGCCTTGGCCTTGATTTGCCCAAAGCCAGCACAAGCTCATGATCGGGTCTGGCCAGTCAGGAAGTTCTTCGGTCCTGGACACGGGGTGTCAGTTAGACCAGTAAAACTCATCCTGTTAAACATTCACTGTGTGTAGACCACAGTCACCCCCCTGCCCCTCAAAAGAGGCCCAGCTTCCTAGGCATGTGAATTCTGCAGGGCCATTTTCAGAAGAGCCCTGGGCTTAGTTTAAGGCTCTGCTGTAACCAGGCTGGAAGGAGGCATTTCTGGTAAATTTTGAATAAGGAGACCACATATTCTCCTCTGGACTGGTCCATACAAATTACATAGTCAGTTGTGCACACACATGTATGATTCTAACATGTACGGCAGCGTGAGCTGCGGGCTACTTTCCAGTTAGCGGTGCTGGGCCAGTGTCAATTTCCTGGTTGTGCTATTTATAAGTTATGTTAAACGTCATCACTGGGGACAGTGGATAAAGGAACCGCGGACACTTTGGACTAAAGGTCTGGAATTGCCACAAAATAATTTTTTTAAAAGATCTCAATTTGGGGACAGTTTAGCAGACTTTAGCAGATTAGCCTTCGAGACAGCTAAGAAGCCATTTTACGTTCCTGGGTCCTCGAGGTGCCTGAATATGGACACGTTGCCTGATGTGACTCAGGAGAAAGCAAAGTCTGGAGACCAGGCCTGGGGGACATCTGGATCCCTGGATCTAACTATGCCTGAAGGAGGCTCACTGGGGTTGTCAGTGACACCAAACACACATTTCCTGTTAAGTCGAAGACAGTCTGAGTTGAGTTTCTGCCACTTGCCATTGAAATAACCTGAACATAACTCAGTCCCCACATCCATCTTGTAGAGGAGGAGACAGTTCTGGAGAGGCAGGTGCAAGGGCTCGTGACCCTGCCCGGCTGCCACCCCCGGGGCCTGGTGGAAGACGAAGACTGGCATGAGGCCACCCACCTCAGGGCAATGTAGAGCACGATGGTGAAGGCCAGGAAGGCCATGGACGACGCGCAGCCAGCCTGGGAAATGCGTGTGAGGACGTCCACCGTGGCCTGGTCCAAGACTGGCCTCTGCGGCAAGCCCCAAAACCAGTCTGGTTAGTTGGAAGCCAAAGGCCCTGGCCCTGCCTGGCGGCCTCCTCCCAGGAGCCTGGTACCCCTGGAAGCGCCGGAGTTGGGGTGCCCACTGTTACCAGAAGCAGGGTGAAGAAGGTGAGGTGGTCACAGCGGCACACGGTACTCTGGTTCCCGAGCTCTGTAGAGCAGCCCTTGGAGGACCAGTCTCCTGCTGACCCTGGACAGGCGGGGAGGACAGGAGCGAGACTGACGACAAGGGCCCAGGGTGGAGCTCTGACCCTCTGGGGCCCAGGCCGCATCCTGCCACCCACCTTACCGTGACATGTCCTACCTTTTGACACATCCCAGAATACACAGGTGAGGGTCATGTTCTGAAAGCAGGGGCGAGGCGGGGGAGACTGAGTTAGGGAAGGAAGGCTGGGCTTGGGGGGAGGGCGCACCCCCAGGTGTCTGCATTCGGCAGAAGGCGGCACTCGCCCGGGGGTCTCACAAGCACAAGAACTGCTCATTCTGTGTGGCCGGGAGCCGAGTGCAAAGGGTGTGGCTGGGTGGGAGGTGGGCAGGTGCGGCCTTGGGGGGGCATGTGTGAGAGGGTGAGCATTGCCGTGGCAGGCTCGCGGGCTTGTCCCGAGTGCATCTGAGTGGGGCAGGGGCTCGTGTCCACAGTGTGCGTGTGGTCCTGATGCTGCCCCGGTGGATTTCGATGGGGGTAGAGATAGAGCCCCTGCATCTCTCCTATATTCCTGCAGGTGCTGCTCAGTCACCGCCAGGCCTGGGTCGGGACTCACGGGTGGCTGCTGCTGGTGGGAGAAGGTGATCTCCAAAGGCTCGTCCAGCCCGGTGACTGTCAGGTTCCCCAGACTGAAGCCCACCAGGCGGTTGTTCAGCACGCTGCTGCCGTCTTCCATGCCAAGCTGGGAGCCCTGCGGAGGGAGCGGGGAGGCTGGTGGCAGAAGGGGCTGTCCCAGCGCGACCAGACGGGGCTCCAGAGAACCTCCGAGGCCCAGGGCTCTGGCCTGGAGGGCAAAGTCAGAGCCTGCTTCCTGAGGTCCCCTGAGGCTCGGCTGGGCCAGAGCAGAGCAGAAACTCGCCCAAGGCCAAGGGCCTCAAAGCTGCACCCCTGAGTTCTCCATTGCTGGTCTCTGGAGCTACCAGAGGGGCTCAGGCCAGAAGCGATAGCAACACAGACATGAGGGGCAATGGGTAACCGGTGGGGGGGCTGCTCACACCAGCCCTTGGGGGGACATGTGTCCCAAGTGAGTGGCTACCCACCTCTGGGGCATACACCTGGCACATATTTGCACACACAGCTACATGTGTGAGCACGGCCACCCCTGGGCACAGGTGAACCTGTGTGCACCAGGAACGAGAGACACAGACACTCAGAATGCACATTCACACCCAAGGGGCTCGGGGGTGAGATCCACACACCTGGTGTGTGAGCAGTGTGGGTCTGCAGCCTCAGGACACCGGTCTGGGGTGACCTTGGGGTGCTTTAGAGTCACTCTCCAGAGGTTCGTTATCGCCCACATCTCCATCAGTTCCCTTGAAGACTCCCAGTTAAGGCAAGCTGGGGCCTGGGCCCCAGTGTGCTGAGTGTGAACCTCCCTTCTGCCCTGAGCCTCTCCTCACCTTAAAGACAGCCCCATCTCCAATGTCCAGGATAGTGATGGCCAACCGAACCACTTCCCTGCTGCTCCTCAGTGAGGCAAAAAGGCTCCTCGGAAACCGGACTCTGTCGGGGGGCTTTTCCTTATTCTTTATCACGGCCATCGGGATCTGCAGCCCCAGACCCAGCCCGTTCCCATCTTTACCCAGGATTCCAGCCCTGCCGCCCACCCCACCCCCAACTTGGGAGGGGAGACAGACCCACGGGGGAGGCCCCACACCCAAGGGCCCAGGCAGGACACTTGGGGGCATGGTGCAAGCTCAGCCCTGCCCAGGCTGAGCCCCTGGTTCACCCAACAAGGAGAAGGAAATGAACAAGGTGTGTCCACTTGTCAGCTACAGGGCTGTGAAGAGATGACATGGGGCTCTGTGATGACAGTTGTCTGGCTTCCCACTGGGGTAACTGGTAAGCATAGGGCCACCCAGAAGGGCGACTGCAAGTGCAGAGCTGAGGGACACAAGAATTCACACTGAAGGACCTCTCCACCCTCCTATGACAATGAATTTTGTAAGAGCTGAGGATGGTCACTACAGTCCACTTACTTTCCTGGTCATCATGTGCATGTTTTGTTCCTTCTAAGTCCTCCGGGGCTGCAGCCTGACCCCACCTGGCCCTGCCCCTGAAGTACCCCATGAGCATGGAAACAGGGGGAACTCAGGGCTGGAGCTGAGGGCCCCTACACTCCCCCTCCCTGTCTTTCCTGGGGCCAGTGTGTACCCCCCACAGAGGGGCCTGCTGCTTGGGTGACATATAAAGTGTGGAAAAGGCCCCCTCTATCTTCCAGCTCCCCTTCTCCAGGCAGGTGAAGCACCTCAGTGAGCACCCACTTGCCTGCTGCCAGAATCTCTATCCTTGAGGGGGGCTGAGCCATCTATGCACCAAGCTTTCCCTGGGAGCTCTCTGCTGTGCTCCCCTCAGCAGCCTTGACAGTGGGCAATGCCATCACCATTCTACAGAAGGGCAGAATATTAAGTAACTTGCTCAAGATCACCATGGCGGTGAGGGGTAGAGCTGGGACTTGAGTCCAGACTGAAGTAAACCCAGAATCTGCCTGTCTGGTCCTTGGCAGTTCGGGTGAGTACATGTTTGGGCCCTGGGGGGAAGAGCTGCCGGGACCTTAGGCTCTGGAGGAGCCTCAGGATTCATTTTCCGGTTGAGGGCATGGGAGCCAGATAGCAGAAGGGATTTCCTGGAGGAAGCTGAGTGGCTATGGTGGGGAGCTGGGGCCAGCACCCAGGCCCCCTGTCTGGCAGCGTGGTGACCTCAGTGTTTCATCCTAGCAGCTGCTGGTGTGACCACACCATGACTTGGGGGCCTGTGGACTGACTGGCTGGGACTTGGGGCCTGTGATAGCCCATGACTATCTCTGAATTCTGAAAAATAGGCCCAAGGAAAATAGGGCCCGAACTATCCAATGAGGGAAGAATCACTTCACCTGAGAGGGGGTCAGAGAGAAGTTCAGATCTTCTGAGATGCTGGTGTTGACGTCACTGATAGAAGCCTTCAAAAAAGACATGTTCTCTAGCTGTTGCAAGCTGCTCTCCACCAGGTAGTGCTCCAAGTTCAGCCAGTAACTGCAGGGGATCAGAGGTTAGGGAAGGTGGTCAGGCTGAAGGTGACCAGTCCCATGGTCCCCCATCTGGATGGTAGGGGCAGACGTCCCCATAGGCAGGGGTCATCAGGTTCTTAGGGGACACAAGGATCAGAGAAAAACTCTGGTAGCACCCCAGGAGCAGAAGGCTGTCTTGGGGGTAACCCAGGCTGGCCTGACGGATTCCAGCCAGCGGTCCCTCTGGACCATTTTTCATGTGTGTTTTATATACACATATAATGCAGTATGGAGTGAGCCTTGACAGTTGGGTTCTCTTTTTCTAATGCCAGACTTAAGCTTTGCTGGCCAAGGCGTCCACTTCAAACACACCTATCTCACGAAATGAAGAGCCAGGTCACCTCCCCTCCTGACCCAGGCCCTTTTGCTGTAGAGATCCAGGATGACCCCAATAACTGGCCATTTCGCATGCTCTTCCTCCCTCGGCTATGTGCCTCAGCTATTCTGTGTCCTTGCCTTGATCACTCCTTGGGTTGACTATACCATGCCTCTCAGGGTGCAGAAGCAGGGAAAGATGATAAGGAGCCTCTCAGAACAAAAGCCCTGATCTTTGCATATGCAGAAACAGCAACCGGTGCTATAGTCAGAGCTAGCATAAACGCTGAGACTCGCCTTGACTTCCTCCCTACTTCCCAGCCTTGGTGGGCCAGCTGGTGGCACTATCCCCACACACTTGTGCACTCGCCACTTGCTTCTTTGATCTTATTTTCTGTCTGATTCTAAATCAAAACGAGACTGCCCTTGGGGCTGGACTGCACTTTCTTGGTGCTGTCCCTCGGGCTTCTCATTGCTCTGGACATGGACTCAGAGTCACCCTTTTTCATCGCATCACCTCATGTGATAATGAGACACTCCCCCACCACATCTATGCTTCATTGTGTGACCCCAAGTATGCTGCGTACTTTCCAGGTCCTGTAAGTAATAAGCCTTTGTATAACTTTAAGTTTCCCCGTGGTTACTACTGAAGGACATCTTGCAACCTCCAACAACCACTTTGCATAATGACAGAGTGCAATTGGCACAAAACACAGGAAATGGACCATGTTGATCACTTTTAAGAGCATAGTTTTGTGGCATTAAATATAAACAACACGTATAGCCGCTGTCAAAGGAACCCCTGTTCTCATTAAGCAGTCACTCCCTTCACCCCAACCTCAGGAAACCACTAATCTGTATTTCATACAAATGGAATTTATGATGTCTAGTCTTTAGGATAGGCTTTTCTAATTTTGCATAATGTTTTCAAGGTTCATTCATACTGAATGAACCCTAGATGGGTACAGCACATTTTGTTTATTCATCCATTGTTGAACATTTACACAACTTTTAATTTCTGACTACTCAAAATCAGGATGCTATGAGCATTCACGTCAAACTTTACATGAATTAAAAAGACCTTTTTTCAGTTCCTTTGGCAAAACACCTAGGCATGGAATTGCTGGGGAATTCTTTATTTAATTTCTGGAGGAATCTCCAAACTGGTTTCCACAGCAGCAGCACCATTTGACACCTCCCTAACAATATTTGAGGGGTCCAATTTCTCTGTATCCTTACCAACTTTTCAATATTGTTGTGGTTTTAATTATAGTCATTCTAATGAGTGTGAAGCAGTTTCTCATTGTAGTTTCAGTTTGTATCTCTCTTGTAAGTGATGATACTGAGCAGATTTTCATGTACTTGTTGGCTTTTCCGTATATTCTTTGCAGAATTTCCAAAGAATTTGGAATTTGTATATGTTTGTATGCATTTTTATGTATGTATGTAACAGGGACATACTACTGCATATAATTTAGAGGTGTAGGTTTACACCTCCTCTGATGTATGTCCCCAAACCATGGCCGCCACCAAAGCACCTATAATCTTTTACCCTAGACCGCTGGGGACTCCTCCCCATATTCCTACCTTCCCTTCTGGTAGCCTCCTTAGAGTATTGTAAATTGTGAAATGGTGATTGTGTAGTATGAGTGAGCAGGTCAGTACATGAAAGTGCTAACCAAATAGTGAAAATTCAACCCTTGGAGACTGAGCTACATAGGAACTGACTTATGGAAACTGTGCTCATGTTGAAAACCACAGAGAATTACAAAAGCTAACCAGCATTTATTTTACTGCAGTGGCTTTGCCATTAGCTAAACAAAAATAAAATCTGCCTTTTATTTTGTCTTTACTTTTACAAAGGACTTGTATCCTCAATATATAAAGGATTATTGAAACTTAATAATAAGGGGCCCTCCCTGGTGGCGCAG